AGGAGCGAGAACACTCACGGTGATGTCACAGTCGACACCGGTGTAGCCGGATCGACAGAGGCACGTGTAGTTGTTGAAGCCAGGCTCGTCCTTGCACATCGCCCTCTCAGGACACGTGTCGTTCGAACAGTCCGACTTCTCCTCCTGACAGTTGATGCCGGAATACCCGTTGGCGCACTGACACCTGTACCCCTGAGGCAAGTCTATGCACGTGGCTGCGTTGTAACAAGGCTGGGAGGCACACTCGTCGATGTCGATCTCGCAACGCCTGCCGGAGAAGCCGGCAGGGCAGAGGCACTGGACACCGTGGCCCATCGGCACGCACAGGCCTCCGTGTTGGCACACGCTGTCGGTACACTGCACCGGCTTGCACTCTTCTCTACCGACCGCGCCCGGACCGTCTGTGTACATGTTCGTTGGACACTCGACGCAGGTGGTGGCCCCGTGTTGAGGCTGGAAGAAGTCCTTGGGACACTGCGCGCACGGAGCCAGCCCCGTGTCGGAGTACATGCCAGGTGAACACTTGGCTCTGCACCGATCTCGACCCGGTGCTGCCGGTTGGTAGGTAAAGGTCCCTGCCGGGCAAGTCTGGCAGTCCTTGTAGCCACCGACCGGCGCTTCTCCCGTGTAACTGTTCCTGGGACACTCGAGACACGGCACGAGACCCGTAGGCGAGTACGTGCCGTACCCGCATACCGGGATACAGTCGTCTATACTCTTGGAACCTTCTTCTCGCGTGTACGTGCCGAATGGACAACGCAAACAAGATCCTTGCCGATCGCTGTTCTGGTAGAAGCCTTTCGGACAAGACGTACACTGTTTCTGCTTCTCCCCGGCGAATGTCCCGGCTGGACAGTGCACTGCAACCGAGAGAGGTTTCATAAGCTTCGATCCAAGTTCTATAGAGAGAGAGAGAGAGAGAGAGAGATACTATTACTTACGACATCGTGGAACGTCGTTGGTGTCCATGTTCAAAACTTCGCCGATGCTGCAAGTGAAGCCTCGGGTGATGGACGACTTTAAAGCTCTAAGAGGTGGACATTGATTCCCGATGGCAGAAACGTTCAACAACGGTTCTATCACCGCGCTGGTCGATGGAACTGACAGGTCAAAGATCAAGTTCAGCGTGGAACCGCAGAGATCGTACAATTGCGGTTGACGTATAGCCGGCACGATAACGAGAATGAAGTCCATCTGAAATATAGAAATATCGTTTGTCAAAAATCTCAATTCTCAGGGAACTGGTCTCCCAACTACACTCTCGAATTACCTTCAAAACGTTCTCCTCGAGCAGATACGGCACTGATCTCACGAACGACACGTTCATGTTCACGTTCACGGCGGAGCAACGTTGCGTCAAGATACTGTTCAGATTCGTGTAATATTGGGACATGAGATCCTGATACTGCGGAAGGCAAGACCTCGAAACGGCGCCGTTGGCTCTGTACGTCACTGCCGCGACCACGTGATAGTTGGCCTGTTGCGTATCTGCAAAATGCACAATGCACTTTCAATCGATTCTCGAGTTTCACTCTTTCAACCGTTCCCAAAAAACAGATCCGTTTCGTTTCATTTCCATTTTCACGCTCGTCAGTTTTTTCTTCTGCAACTGAGGACAAATTTCCCGTGAAAGCTAATAGAAATTCAAACGCGTGTGAAAACATTGGAAATGGTCTCGATGATCGAAATGTTTTCTCTGCGACGACTTCTTGAAGCTTGTTGTACGATTTTTCCTCGTTATTTTGTCAAACTTGAAACATTGGATTTCCTGAATTTTTGTTCGATCCTGTTAGTTAACGTTCAAACGAAACAGTACAAGTTTCAGGGAACTTTAATCTCCAAAACGATGGATCTGATCTAAACTAAGGAGTTTAGGATAGGATCTAAAATTTTTTCAATGTGTGCTTTTACACTCTCTCCCATCACTGTGTGACGTAAAATCATCTCCAAAAAAAAAAAAAAAAAAAAAAAAATAAACTATGTGATCTCTTCTTTACAAAATTGCATTAAATCCACAATTTTTCCTTGTCATTGGTCTCCTCGCTGTACGCTTTTAACTTTAAAACGAAAATTAAAATCGAAATGGTACCCACTTTCCGAGACACAGTCGGGAACTACGGAAGAAGGGGTCCAGTGTTTGACGACATCGCAGGTGAACGTTTTTACCGGCGCGCCGTCGGTAAATCGGAAACCGTTCTTGCATGTGGCGATGCATTGAAGTCCCTTGTCACCGGGGACGCACTTCAATCCTCCGTTGGCCGGTGGCCTCAGCTCCCAGTCGACGCAAGGCGTTGCTTGAACGGACACTTGGAAGTGGCAGGATGCTCTGTTGCCACTGGCGTCTGTCGCGTAAACGGTGACGTTCTCGAAGCCACCGACCGGTATCAACGCCCTTTCCGGGACGAACGTGATCTTCACCGGCCCCGAGACGTCCGTGGCGTTGATCCTTCTGCGCGTCTCGTTGAAATTCACCGAGTAACTCTCTTGCTTGTCTATCAACTCGATGACGTAGCTCTGGGGACAGCTGAGCTTCGGCGGCGTTACGTCTGCATAAACAGAATAGACAACGAAGGATAGTGAGAAATTGTGTCGAAAGCAGGAAACAAAGCAGAATCTATTAACTTACCAGGCACGGTGATGTTGATCTCGCAGATAGCCACGTTCCCGTCGTAATCGAACGCCACGTACTTCACCACCGTGTCCTGGAACACTCTCAACGGCGTTCTAAAACTGTGAGGCTTCACCTCTAATCGCGCGATGCTGCCGCTGTTATCGATGGCCGTCGGTTCGGTGAAGTTCACCGGCAGCAACCCACCGTCCGTGCCCTTTTGCACCACGATCGGCTGCTGAGGGCAATTCTGAAACACCGGAGGCTCGTTGTCCACGCAAGGCGAGAACCCGTAGTCGTAGCCCAACAACGGCTCCGTCACTGGTTCCTCGCAGCCCATCAGTTCGAACTTCAAACACGCGTTGTCCATGTAGCTGACAATCCCAAGAATGACGAACCGAGCCTGCACGTACTTGGGCAACGTGATCATCGCCAATTCGCCGTAATTGCCCGGGTCCCTCATCGTCAGATTGAAGTTGGGAAAGTAGACGACGTAGTTCTCGATCTCGGCCTGTTTGTAGAAGAACCGGATCTCCGTTGGCCGGCCGACGATGTCGTTGGTCACCACCCCCTTCACCAGAATCGCCTTCACCCTGTAAACCTGGCCGAGGTCGACGCTCACGTACGTGAACGCCTCTTGCTTGCCGCACCAGCCGGTCACCGAGTTCAGACGAACGTTCCTCGCCTCGTAATTCGGCCTCTCGGAGGTCGCGTTGATGGCCGAGTCCGGGATCCGACCGGAGGCCAGTCCAAGTGGTTTCACCACCTTGCACTCTGGCTCTCGGACGCACACGATCGGCCGTGGATTGATCAGAATGTAGCCAGGTCTGCTGCAACCGAACTGAACCTCCGATCCTTGCTCGTAGCTTCTGGCCAGCTGGAACCCGTCGCTGGGTCGTCCGGGATCCTCGCAAACGGGACCTTCGCATCGAAGGTTGCCAAAGTCCCAGATCCCATTCGCCTGACACCTGACCACGTTGTCGTGACGATTCGTTTGGCCGGCCAGTTTGAACGTGTCCTGACAGCCGAAGAAGAAGGACGATTGATACTTGGTGTCCAAATATTGGCCGTACTCGGCGCCAGGCGTTGGAAGAGGCTTCCCGCAGTCCGCTCTCGGACAAGCTGGCTGAGAGCCCGACAACCAGTAGTCCGGCAGACCTGGTTTCGGGTCGTAGACACATTGACGGAAGCTCGACGTAGCCGTGTTTCGCAGGTACCGGCCATTGCTGCCACACTTTAGGGTGACGTTCTGCTTGAACGGTACCAAAACACTGGCCTCGTCGCCGCGAATCACCGTGAGCCCTTCGTTCTTGTCGTCCGGCAGCGACACGCACTTTGCATCTGTATAAATAATAATAATAAATAATACTCGTGATGATTTCACGAGGTCTCGACGGCTTCTACCGACAAAGTACAGGCTAGAACTTCTTGTGTATTGATCGCAAAGAAATCGTATTGGGAGTACTTAATGTCGTTTTCTTCAAGTTTAATAAACATTGCCATCTAGCGATAATTATTCAACTTATCATAACATAATTTAAAATGTATAACCTGTAAATAAATTGATATTTAGATATAACCTATAAATATACTGACATGACCTATAAATATATTGACACAACATTTAGAACACTGACATAACCTACAAATATTGACTATAGATATAACCTATAAATATACTAAAGTAACCTATAAATATATTGACTATAGATATAACCTATAAATATACTGACATAACCTATAAATATA